GTCTTCCTGTTACAGCTGTGGATGGTTTGACTGTATTCACAGCTTGAGTAACCTCCTGCTAAGAGACCCACACAGGCAGTGACAAATTTGTACCACTTTGCCAAGTCCAAAACATTATTTTGAGTAAAGCTGAGCTCTAAAGTTTGAATATTCTCTCTGCCAGCTTTCTTATCAAGTCTCCCACTCTGCTGAACTCATGTTTTTCCTTCATCTACAACCTTTACAATCAGAGGAATGTATTTCCCCCGTAGAGCGAAACTCAGTGGTTCATGTTGGAGACATTGAATCCTTTCACCACCTCATATTCATGTGGGCACCAAGGGCTGGAAATCACCAGCTGTGTCAACATTGTGTAACAGGAGGCTTAAATGTATTTCAATAATCACCAAATTTTGTGTGCATGAGGATATAAACTAGAGCCCATCAGAACCAGCAGGGATATTTTCCCTGATGTTGGCTGAGCCAGGACTAAGCTCTTTTTCTGTTCTACCACCAGCTCACTTTTCTCTCCTGAGCTCCAAACACAAATGCTCTTTAATTCTCTTAAATAAGAGAACTCTGTTTTCTGTTTTGCAGTCCTAGTCAGGAAAAACTGCTGAACTCACTTTGGACAGTTCTTTTGAAGGGATCACAAAGCCACATCTTAGAGTCAGTGCTCCATCCCTGTACTGAGTCAGAAAATTATTTCTGTATTGATTCAGGCTCATAAAAGTATCTCAGGATCTGATTTCTGGAGTTCCTGTCTCATCTCATATCTGTGATTTGCATCCCACAATGTATCAGGGAGGCAAATGTCCCTGAACACTCCATCACAATCTGATAACATCACTGCAGCCTTGCAGCTCTTGGTCATTATCAGTTCTGTGCTGTAGTTCTGAGCATCACTGCTACTCAGATCTTAAAATTTCAAGACTCACACCAGCAAAGGAGTTTCCAAATAGGTGAGATCACTGGATATTGGCTAGACAAAGATATGCAAAAGCATATTGCTAAATTTACTGGGCAGGGGAATAGGTACTATTTCCTGCCATTACACAAAAAAAAAAAAAAAAAAAAAAAAAAAGAATGTTTTTCTCCGAAGTGTTTTATAGTTATCAAAGAGAAAGCAAATTTCACTGCCTTTTTCTCAAGTAGTCACTGACAAATACCAGAAATAAAAATTTGAGTAGAACTCCAAGTAATTAACTCAGACTCATTAATCATCACAGAAAAACTGTATATTCAGGTTGTTGCATATAGATTCTGTGTATTTACTAAACAACAAGCAAGGCAATTTTATGTGAATTTACAAGCAAGTATTTACTATTCCTTCATGCACACAAACATGCTTGAGTTCCATCCTGTGTGCCATTTATGGAATTAGAGGGTAGATGTTACTGATGTGCCAACCAGACACGATGGACACAGGCTAGAGAGACCACAAATATCAAACCTGAATTTAGCAAATGGCTGAAACCCATGTACAAACTGTTCCCATGTTTGCAAATACGAAACACAGGACTAATAAGGTTTTTTGTGACTTTTATGCAGCTCTGTTCACAAGGAAATAGAATTCTTGGGCTTACACTAATACACAATAAACAACCAACATTTTTTTTCAGCTATGGTGTCTGCATGGTGCTTTCAGTATGTCACTGCCAACAGGCTGTCTTTGATTTCTGGTCTTTCTTGCTAAAACAGTTCTAAAAATTAAAATCCCATCTAAGCATTTCAGACATGAAGGTAGTTGCTATCAACTGCACATTCTTTTGGACAGCAGTCTGCAAGGAGTGCAGTAGAAACATTTACATTCATCTACAAGTGAAAATTTACATAACACATTCTAGTGAAAGTTTTATTTTGAAACCATAGAGAAGATGTCTGTCTATCATTCCCACTTACCTGAGAATTAAATGCACACGTATCAAAGAACTGCAAATACTTTACAAAATACTCCAAGTTTACTGGTCAAAGACAATTTTAAATTTTTCTTTTTTTTATTCTTTATAGTTGACACTTGTTGAAAAGGAATAGAATCACTGCCTGGGTTCAGCTGCACTTGTGATTTTTTTCTCCTCAAATCATTTTCATAAAGGAAAAATATATTACATTAAATTTAATTCTACTCTGATTTATGTTTACAGGTTCTCACTATCTAAGAGGAGAAGCAGTTATTTAGTGTATTTGGTAACCACTTATTTGTCTGCAGCTTTAGTTTTATGCAGTCCCTATAATTTGTGTTTATTGACAACAAGACAATTTCTGAAATATGAGAAGCATGGTTTCCAGAGGAAATCCATTGCAGATTTCTGTCCTGTGTCACTTTCTTATTAATACTTAATAAGAAATTAATGAATACTTAATTAATATTGGCAGAGAACCATGGCAGCATGTATGCTAAAAGATAACTCTCCAGTTATGGAGAGTGCTTTTGTTTTTAATTACCAAGGCACTGTTTTATTCTTACAAAAATTTAAATCATCTTAAAAATAACTTTTATGTTTGAATCCAAACTTTTTGCCAGATTTCACTCAGAAACTGGAATGTAACTGCATGGTAGAGGATTCAGTGCCCTGTACATAACTGAGTTAGTAGGGGAGGTGGTAAATACATACCAATAAGGCAATCCCAAATTCAAGAGGGCTCTCTTCAAAGCGTGGAAACCTGGAGAGGTAAATTTAACTCTTCCTCCTGGGATATTGCTGACAGGACATGGACAGAACAATAATTCATGGGAAAGAAGAGAGGCAGATGAGTATCACAATAACAGAGCCCTGAATGGGTAAGGAAAATTGAAAGCAGCAGAGGAGCTCTGAAGCAAAGTCCATCCAGGAGCATCCTGCCCAGGAGCAGCACGGTGCTGGAAAGGGAGGCAGGATGGCACAGCTGGACCCCAACCACCGGGGCTGAGGAGGAGGAGGAAGATCCCATTCTGAACCAAGCTGAGCGAGGGGTCAGGGTTTTAGGAGTGGAGCTGGTTGAACACGTGTTTTAGCAGATAGCACAGCCCCCTTCTGTGATTTTATCCATTGCTTAAATGAAACTACAACAAATTTTTTTGCACCACTGTGTCCCAGTCTAATCCCATCTATGTCTGGCTAATCAACTGTAATGCAATTCATTCAATGCTTTACCTCATATCTGTTGTATACTCCAAATCCATAACAAAAGAAATAGAGTCAATGGAAAAGCACTGTGGGGCCACTCTTGATTTCCACAGATCATTTTGCTGCACTGGGCCAAACAAGCAGAGTCTTCAGGAACAAGCTGACCTTGCGGGATTTGCTGTTGCTTACAGTGAAAGATTATTCTGGTTTCTCCATTTTTCATATATAATGCAGAAAAAATTACAATGTATTGCCCCTCTCATTTTTTCTACAATAAGGTGATTTGGTTTCAGGGTGGCTTTCTAAGTCTAATAATACGTAATATGATAATTATAAGAGGACAAGGAACAGACTGGTATTAATATATTGCAAAAAAACCAACTGCTGTACTGATCTAGATATTCAAAGTGGCTTTTCAAGATACAGAGTTGTGGAAAGGTATGAAGGAGAAGAGTTCATGCAGAGCAGTTTGAGTAACTCTAAGAAAAAGGCCGTAATGGAGAGGACTGTCAGAAGCAACAGAGCACACTGCTTGGAGCATGGAAGGGATCTTAACATGGTAATTAGCACACATAGCAACTGGAAACTTTGAAGAACATAGTGAGACAACCTTCTCAAAGACTGACCTGATGAAAGAGTTAAAGGCCTCATAAAGAGGCATTTTCTAGAGAATTAAGATATTTTAATCTCCATAACTACATTCAGAGGAAGCATTTTAGCGGACACTGGAATTTAAGATAAATTCCTTTCTATTACTAGGGACACATCCTTGCCCATGTGATTTTCAGTTTATTACAGTGTCAAAAAGCAGCTGTGAGAGAGGCCAGGCAGTTGGCACGCATGGCCCCAGGTGCTGGAGCACTTCCATGGGAGAAGGGATATGCCAAAGGCATCCTGAATATCACGGTGGTCACCAGCTGCTTTAACAGCTGGTATAAATCTCAACCTGCCCCATGGGCAGGGGATGTGTACATTCACTTCACCCTCTTTTCTCAAGCTGTGTTAGGAATGACAGTTTCAACAAAACCTGCTGTTAAAGACCACAGTTTTTGCTTTAAGTTGTTCTCAGTTCTGAACACAGTTCTTTGTCATTAGACTGTGTGAGCTGTAGGCTGCTGCTTGTAGAATCCCAGACCAGCTCTCCAGGGAGCATCAACAATCTCTCAAAAAAGGTAATAAGGAAAGATGTGATACTTGGACCTCAATTCCCTAGGGATTCTTGTTTAGGAGGAGAAGGGAGTCCCGAGTTCTTTCTTCCTCTTTAGGCTGCACTGCCTTTAGAGCTATTACTACCAATGACACCAAAAATTACCTGTCGTGGATCTTAGAGATGGAAAATAGAATCAAATCAAACAGATCTTGAGTGGAATAGATCACTGCAGACTGCTGAGCTATACCCCACCCTGACATCTGCACAGTCCCTTTCAGTTCAAGGGATGATACAGATGCAGTTAGAAGAGAACCTGATGGAAGGTATTAATAATAAAAGCTAAATAAAATAATGTCATGGATTAATATTGAGAATAAATATTAGGAATAAAGGATTTTTTTTCACAAAATGCTGAAATAAAGAAACTATTAAATCAAATAATTTTAAGAGAAAGCTACATTGCTTTTTTAGGAAAAAGAGAATGAACAGAGGGCACTGCTACTGGCTAGGTGTTTGTTAATTTTTCATGTGAATTTATTGCATATGCAAGTGATTGAATTAGTAGCACTGACAGGAACCCAGGCACGGTAAAAGCTTCCTGCTACTGACACAGCAGTGCTCAGGCTGTGCTCTCCTGGCCATTAGCAGTCCTGCTGTGGGAGCCCCGAGCCTGGCTCAGCTCAGGCTGCAGAGCTGCCTGGAACGGGACCGAGCGCGGCGCCCTCCGGAACCGGGGCTGGGATGAGACCACTCCACTCTTTTAGATTAATGACCTCATTTGGACTCTGATGCCAGGCTCCAGGGAAGAAAGTCCAGTGCAAGCTAATATGCTACCAAAATACTGCAAGGTAAGTTTGGGGGGGGGGGGGGGGGGGGGGGGAAATTAAGGGGATTTTGTTTTTTGTGTTAAAGAGACTGAATGCGAAAGGGAGTCAGAAGAGGTGAGAGGGGGTTGGGGGGGGGGGGGGGGGGGGGGGGGGGGGGGGGGGGGTGGAAATTAAGAGGATTTTGTATTTTGTGTTAAAGAGACTGAATGCGAAAGGGAGTCAGAAACGGGCAGCTTGCAGGAGAGAGCGTAAGGTGCAGGAATCAGAATGTTTTCTCACCTTTGAAAAAAGAGGGTCATTTCCAAACACTCAGAGGCTGAGCAGCGAGATCTGGATCTTCTGTCACCAAGCTGTAGATTGCCTCAGAACAGTGAGGCTTTGAGAGCAGACTAGGGGAATAGAAATTGCATATATAATAATTCAAGCATGCCAGTGTGTTGCCAAATATTACCATCTAAAAGGAATATAAGTATCATGGCTGCTGTGAAGTCCTTAGGGAGGCTCATAACCTTTTGGGAACCTTTTCCTCCTCCCCTGCAACGTATTAACCTTTTGACCACATCGGTGCTTAGATGTACATAAGGAAATGATACATGCAGACAGATACAGTTGGGGAGAGGTAGGAACAAAACATCAGGGATGCAGGATGTTGTGTGAATTCTTTATCAAAATCTCATGGCCAAGAATAGATACAGAGCTAAAAAAAAAAAGCTATTTCTGATGTATTATGAATGTGCAGATGAGCAGCGATGGAAAAACATTTCATGGCTGTCTTACAAACCATATTCCTGTAGCGTCAGATTGTGACAACTTAAAGAAGCAAAAATGAGCTTTTTGTACAAGTAGCACTGCTAGATTTAATGGTGCTGCTAATGGAGTAAGATGTTTCTTGGAGTAAGGGTGCCATAAACCAGCCCTCAGCCACCACTTCCTGTTTACTTGTGGTTTATTCTCTAGAGCAAACCCAAGTTTCTCTCACTGCAAATTTGTGCTCGTTACAAAAAAAAAAAAAGATTCTTGCTTAGTATTTTCCTTTTTCATACCATTCATCCTCATGGAGGGTTTTCTTTTCTAGTCAATCATTTGACATGTAGAAGAATGAATGAATGAACTGTTCTTTGATTAGAGTGGTACTCTATTGAGAGGTAGAGCTTCACTTAACATGTTCTTTTTCAGTAGGTCTAGACAGCCACTGCTAAAATTTCATTTAGATATCATTTGTAATTAATTTGAACAATCCTAGTCACTTAGTAAAGTTGCTTCAATACTTTCCTTTTTATTGAAAGTTATTTCACTGCTGCAAGCAAGGTATTTTATTTTATGATTTTCTATATGATTGGTCCCAAAGGAGAAAACACAAAAGAGTTCCAAATTAAATTCTAATCCAATTTAACAACAGCTGTAAGGGAAATGAAGACATATTAGCTACTCTAGAACCTGAGCCTCCTGGAAAAATGAAGAATGAAGCTGATCATCCCAAAAATTTTTACTAGTTTAAGTTTTCACCTATATACAAATGTATAGTGAGCAGCTGGAGACAAAACTAAACAGAAGCTCCCAATAAACTATGACATTGTACTGATTAAAAGACTATAAACATACACTGAGGTGCATAACTAGTAGCAAAACTAGCAAATGTTTTTGACATTTGGACCACACTTGAAGTTACCAAAAAAAACCTGTGTTCCAACACCTTGACAGATTTTGAGGCTGGGAGGATCCATTTATTGACCTGTCATATGAACTGTAACATAATACAGGCTGATGGACTTGACACAATTGATCTTCAAGATCATCATTCGAATGGGAGTAGCACATGCTCTGGAAAAGCATTTATTTTAAGCCTAAAGATGTAAGTGATGCAAAAATCCACTCTCACTTGCTCAAGATACTCCTGCAGTGATTCTCCAGACTCTTCAAAGTATTCTTAGCATCAACAAAATATTTGTTTTGTACACACAAAAAATATATTCTAAACTACCTTAGAGTAATATAATAAAGCAGACAATATTTTTAGAATTCTCAGGTAAGCTGTATTGTAATGAAAAGGCTTGAAATTACATTTATAGCCATGAAGCGTGCAGCTGACTCAGGAGTTGTATAAACAAGCACACAAAGAATCAGTCAAAAGAATCTTCTTGTTCCCAGCTGAGTTTTCCAGTTCACTTACAGTGGTCAAAAGTGGTGGTTGGAGGAGTTGGAGGAAAAACCCTCAAGGCATCAGCAGCCTCCTGCTGTGCACGGCACAAAATGATCTTAGAGTGTAAAAGTGTCCACTGCCTCTGGAGGAACCAGCATTTCCCCTCTAGTCTTGTGGGAGGGAATTCTGATCAACTCTTAGAAAACAGCTGGGTCACGTAACAGGAGGGCTGCCCTGCAGGGAAAATATAAAATCTATTCACGTGTCTGTCAGGAGTGTGTATCTCTATATTACAGCAGGCAAAATGTAGTCTTGCCTCCTCTGAGGTAGTTTGATCATCCATCTATTTTAGCATTTTCTCAGAAAGTTCTTGCCAGTGAGAGGTTTTACAGTCCAATTAACACAACAGGGAGTGACAGTCTCTAAGCCTGGAAACAGCTCTCACTAACAGTGATGTGGGCAAGGCTACAGACAAGAAACTCCTCTCTTATGCATGGAAAGGTAATAAGGTTATTCAACCAGTTGCAAAACATGGAAGAATCCTTTCTACCCACACTAAGAATGGAAGAAAAAGACAAGGAAGTTTGTACTTGTCAGTGGAAGAAATAGGTTAGCATGTGTCCTGATTTGGGAAGGAGAATAATCAATATTTAAAGACACTGAACAGACTACAGTTGGAGACAATCCTCTCTCCAGGAGAATGTTAGAAGCCAAGAAAAGACCAGAGGGAGGCTGAAAGGGGAAATTGCACTGGTAAATCAAGGTAATGATAAACACAGGTCAGAATAGCAGAAGCATTGACTCCACCACCAAGTTATAATTTCCCTGCTCAGTGGAAATTGCATACAATATCACCCACTGCCCTGCTTTATTTATGATAACCAAGCCAATACTCCCAGCACTTAAAACAATATTTCATCCAGTTGCATGCTCTGGATTCATTTCTATCCTGTTAACTCCATCAAGACACCAGTTTCTTGCGTTAATTCCCTTCTCATTTCTTGGCATAAATAGCAGTAATTTCTGTGAAACTAATACCAAAATGCAGTGCACTGATTTGGAAATGTTTTGTGTACACACAAAACAGAAATAGAGTGACCTTGCCTGAAAAGTACTCACTAAATGCTTGAATATTTATCTGGACAAATCAGCCAAGAAATACTGAATTTCAGAAGCTTATATATTTCAGACAGTATGATATTTACTTCCTTTCACAGAAATTATTCAGTATCATTAATTCAAACCAAAATACAACTACCGTATCTTTTTAATGCTGGATTAGGACTTAAGGGATGTTTTTAATATATCTTCATGGCAATATAAAGTTTAAAAAATTCCTTTTCAGGGACTCAGTAGATGAATCCACTTGTTTATGAAGCAAAGCCTACTTGTTTTGTTTAGAACAGGCTCAGCAGACCTTAGTGAAATGAATCTCTGCCTAGATGTCAGCCTGACTTAGCTAAATCTGTGCCTTACCTTGAGTTTCTAACATTTTGACCAACAACTTTTTTTCTCCCAAGTACTTTATTCATCCAGCAGCAAGAGTTGACACTTAGCAATTCACCGACAAGACTGTGTGCCTGCACCTTTCCCTTGCAGCTGTATTTACTCAAAACAAAGCTATTCAAATGAGCCTTAATCAAGACACATCATTCTGCTCACTGTGGGAGCAAATCCACCCGGATCTTCCAGCTGGGCATGCCAGCAGTGGTGCCCCAGACAGGAATTCTGGCCAGTTCTCTGGCAGGGCAGGCTGGATCCATTGGGATGTGGCATTAATGCCACATTGAGCTGATTAAAGATTCACCTGGGTCCCCTGAGCACTCAGCAGAAATGTTGTTCCTTCTGTGCCTGTTGAGCCATTGTTGGAAGCTGATGGAGGAGCTCTTTAGTGCTTGACCCTTTGCTCTGGCAGCACAGCTCTTCCCGGGGTGTCCCACTGGGCACAGTGTGGGTCAGGCTGTGTCCTGCCCTGTGACCAGCTCCAGCTGGGGGTCACAGGAACAGTGTCACTTGTTACCTGGAAATTCCCAGGGAAAGATAATCTGTTTTTAAAGCTTACTTTTAATACAGTCAGGGGTGGAAAAAAAATTACTAAATGATAAAATAAAAGCTTTATGAATAGCTATTGAGTGCCAGGTGTTTTGCTTAAGGAAGGCCTGTCTCCTACATGCCATCCATCAGTGTTATTTAAATAACATTGTGACAGCTCAGCATACGAGGTTATACTGAAGAGTTTTCAGAGAAATTGAATGGGATATGTTAATGACCCAGACAGCCTGTGAGGTGTTTGTGATTCCCAGTATGTCAGACTTGTTGGATTTTGCCAGGCTGCCCCATGTAACTCAGAGCTAACTGCTCACGGCTGTGTGCGAGTTAACAAAACACAGATGTTCTTAAAAAAAATCACGTTGCTGAGCAATAGTACATGTTCTTCTAAATACTTATACTCCACTTTCACTCCATCACCTCCCACAAAAAATAGTGTCTAAAGTGCTTTCTGCATGGAGTGGCAGTGAGCTGGAGTTAATGCCTGAGACTTACCAATACATCAAACAGCGACTACGCATTGGAAAGAGATAACAAATTTCCAATGGCTCCAACAAAACAGCTTGAGCACCCTGCCATGAGACACAACCTTTTATCTTTTCTCTTGAAGCTGTGCATCCTGTATATATTGTGCTCTAAGCACTAAGGAAAAATTAGAATGGGCAGATGCCAGAAGGAAGACAACCATTTTTTGAAGCACACCAACACTGAGCAGCGAGCTCCCAGTGCCAGTCTGCAGCTGGGGGAACTTTCTGGTCCTGGCATCAGTCTGCACATGGAGCTCATGGCAGTGAGTGGGCAAGGCCACAACTGCTGCAGTTCACACTGCAGA